GTATCACAAAATCACTATTATTATTATTATTATTGACAAAAAAAGCACAGTATGTCACAGCAAATGAGATCTATATGCTGGATTTCGTATCACAACATCACAATTATTATTATTATTATTATTATTATTATTATTATTATTATTATTATTATTCCTTAAGTTTGTGATATGTCAGAAATCGCTTGAACCCACAAAATGATGAAACAGAGTTCCAGAAGCAGTGATCTGACATCTTCACTGTTATATGGAGAAGATTCAAATATCTTCACCACCCTTCGGGGAGAGAGGGCAAGTTATAAATAAAGTATATAATTAGTATTATTTCCAAAATGTAATATTTGAGCATTATATTTATTATTTTCTTGAGCTTATTAGCCACAGGCACTTGTAGGGTATTCTCTAATATTTTAAAAATACATATACATCCAACAAAAGGGGCGGGGGGGGGGGGGGGGACACCAAAGCTATACTTATCATTTAGCTTCTGACCTGTATCCAGATCCCCGATCACATAAATGCTAGCTCCAATGGGCACAGCTCCGTACACAAATGAAGAACTGGCTGGGATGCACAAGTTCTGATCGTTCAAGTAGATCCACCTGCAAGAAAAGTCAAGGTTTGAAGGGTGATTTGGAAAACAAAACAAAATGCATGACCACAAATCCATGCTCATCCCAACTACGCAATCAAGGAAAAGGGAACTTGCTTGTATTGATTACTGGTTTGCATTTAAGCATGCACAGCTCTATGTGTTCATTGTGAAAGGCTACTCACTGACCATGAGGTCATAGTCTCCAAATCAAGGAGCAAGAAACTGGTTGGCTAGCAAACTATAATAAATAGATAAAGTACTAAACATAACATTGTAATTATTTGAAAACTCTTATTGACTATCAAAAGATTGTGGCATACTGAGTAACAAGGATTCGGAGGAATTAATTAATTTGATAGAACAGCACCCTCTTCTGGTGAACAGAAATATAACGGATAGCAGCACATTTATAGACAACAGGTACAAGAAATGTAAAACTGTGGCATTATTTTATAGTGGCACCATTTGTTAATCTCAGCACATTTGCTGGAAGGAATAACCATCTCCTCACAAGATTAATTACGCTCATTACACAATTTCAATCGGAAACTCTAAAATGAGGGGTAAATTTGGCAGGAGTGTATTGTTGGCAATGATTCTATCTATGTGGTGTCGAAGGCTTTCATGGCTGGAATCACTGGGTTACTGTGAGTTTTCGGGGCTATATGGCCATGTTCCAGAAACATTCTCTCCTGACGTTTTGCCCATATATGGTACGCATACTCAGAGATTGTGAGATCTGTTGGAAACTAGGCAAGTGGGGTTTATATATATGGGGTAAACATGCCCAGCTCTTTGAGCCGCTGCATATAGGGCTTGTTCTCCAGACCCTTGATCATTTTAGTCACCCTCCTCTCACATCCGTAAGTTACTACAGGGAATACCAGTGCTTTAACTATGTGGATCTTTGTTGCCAGTGTGATGTCTCTACTCTTCACTGTTTTGTCAAGATTGGACATTGCTCTCCCTCAAGAAGTAAGCGTCTTCTGATTTCCTGACCACAGTCTGCGTCTGCAGTCATCTTTGCACCTAGAAATACAAAGTCTGTCACTGCCTCCATGTTTTCTCCCTCTATTTCCCAGTTGTCAATCATTCTTGTTGCCATAATCCTGTTTTTTTTAATGTTTAACTGCAACCCAGCTTTTGCGCTTTCTTCTTTCACCTTGGTTATAAGGCTCCTCAGCTCCTCCTTTCTTTCGGCCATCAAAGTGGTGTCATCTGCATATCTAAGGTTGTTAATGTTTCTGGACACCTAATACTATTCAATTAAAGTGTATGTATTAAAAAAGAAAAAGTGCATTACACATTACTCAATCTTGCTGGTGGGCTATGTAAAAAGCTGTTGTTACCTCTTAAATTCATCATGATAGAATTCCGATTTACAGGTCACCATCTCGCTGGTTTGGTTATCGTCCCGGCTTCTCACCCCTCCAAAGACATAGAGCTCTGAAGCCACACCACATGCCACAGCCCCAAACCTGGAGGACAACACAGGAGAGGAAATGTAGTGTCAGGTTAGAGGAATCTGGCAATATACTGGTAATAATAATAATAATAATAATAATAATAATAATAATAATAAACATCACACAGTCCTAGACATTTGGGAAGTGTTCGACTTGTGATTTTTTTATACGAAATCCAGCATATAGATCTCGTTTGCTGTGACATACTGTGTTTTTGTGTCAGTAATATACTACTACTACTACTACTAATAATAATAATAATAATAATAAATTTTATTTGTGACCCATCTCTGCTAATGCATACAACAAAGTCAAAGTACATCAACATTTATTTATTTATTTATTTATTTATTTATTTATTTATTTATTTAGCAGTTTTGTATACTGGTCTTCTCACCTCCGTTCAAGGGACTCAGGTCGGTTTCCAACAACAATATTACAGACAGTCATTAAAACATCATATTCTAAATCACACTAAAACATTAAAATAGCAAAATACAATCATATAATTACAGTGGTCAGTCATCATCAAAAATCACACACAATACAACTTACATATCAAAACACACCATTATAAAAACATACCCCAAAACACAGAGTACCAAGATCACCACACAGCAACAATAGAATGCAAATCAAAAATTAGCAACCATTCTAAGTATTCCCACTAAGAGTATTTATGTGATACGAGAACCGTATGGCGCCAAAATCCCTCCATTCATAAAATGAAGGAAAACCATGACTTGAAGTGAAAGAGAAGACCTTCATTTTACAGGAGCTTTACATTACTGGATATCACCTTAGCTTCTTGTTCCCGCTTTTATTTTTTTGGCGTGTCTCTCATACCTCTCTCCAACACCTATCAGCCTTCTCTCTTTTTCTTCATTGTACCATTTGTGATACCAGTTTAGAGGATTGGAATTTAGGGAGAAAATTGCAGCATATGTTTTGAGAACAGGAAAGAGAATACAAGTGATGTGCCCACATTATACCGCAGTTAACACTGGGAACACTTTTAAAATAGAAATCTCCATCACTTTGTGACCCTGGAAATCCCACACGCAATCTCACAATCCTCTCTAAAACATCGGTGAACCCATCTGCTTCAGTCTCAAGATGATCTACAACACTCAATAGGTTATATACATTTCTAGAAATCTGGAAAATTAATTGTGATACTTTACACACCGTCTTTCTTTTAGCGGGCAGATGGCAGTCCATTGCTGGGTCCTCGGGTCGTAACATTCAACAGACTCAAAAAGCTTGCCATAGGAACCGCCTCCCATTGCATAGATCTTTTTTTTCATCGCTGCATAACAACCAATCTTGAAATAATAAAAAAAAAAACCACCAACCTATTAAAATTATGTAACACAGTAATGGAAAAGATACAAATGATTGTATTTTCTGTAGAGAACGGTAGTTCTATCATACACCAACTAGCAAAAGGTTACAGCATACCATTGCTCATCAACCTCAAGGACAAAATACAATAGTCAGTGAAGAAAGTGATCTGGAATGTACTATTTCAACTGGAACCAAGCTCACTAGTCTTAGCAGCTCTATACTAAGCTTGAGATTTATCCACTTATTTAATCTCCTGGTGAAGGGTTTTGTTGTTTATTCATTCAGTCACTTCCGAGTCTTCATGACCTTCTGGACCAGCCCACGACAGAGCTCCCTGTCAGCCGTGGCCACCCTCAGCTCCTTCAAAGTCAAGCCAGTCACTACAAGGATACCATCCATCCACCTTGCCCTTAGTCGGCCCCTCGTCCTTTTTCCTTCCATTTTCACCAGCATCGTTGTCTTCTCTACACTTTCCCATCTCTTAATGTGGCCAAAGTACTTCAACTTTGCCTCTAAGTATGGACTGGTTGGATCTTCTTGTGGTCCAAGGTACTTTCAGAATTTTCCTCCAGCACCACAGTTCCAAAGCATCTCTCTTCCTTCGCTATGGTCCAGCTCTCACATCCATAGGTTACTATGGGGAATACCATTGCTTTAACTATGCAGATCTTTGTTGCCAGTGTGATGTCTCTACTTTTCACTATTGTATTGAGATTGGCGATTGCTCTCTTCCCAAGAACGAAGCATCTGCAGTAATCTTTGTGCCTAGAAAATACAAAGTCTGTCACTGCCTTCCGGTTTTCTCCCTCTATTTGCCAGTTATCAATCAGCCTGGTTGCCATAATCTTGGGTTTTTTTATGTTTAACTGCAACCCAGCTTTTGTCTTTCCTTCTTTCACCTTGGTTAGACTACTCAGCTCTTCCTTGCTTTCCGCCATCAAAGAGGTATCATCTGCATATCTAACTATAAGGTTATTATTGATGTAACTATAAGGTTATTATTAATGTAACTACAAGGTTATTATTATTGTAACTATAATTAATAGTTATTGTTATTAATTAGCATTATTAATAATAATAATTATTATAGTTATTAATGTAACTATACAGTTATTATTAAGATTTTTAATATAACTATACAGGTCAAATGCTAGTTTGATACTTAAAACTCTCAAGATTTTCTGAGAACAAGTATGTATCTTCAAAGAACTGGTCTCCAAAGTTTATTTTCTCTCCTTTCACTCTGTCCTCCTTTCCATACTGTGTCATGTTCAAAATAAATAATAATAATAAAACTTTATTTATATACCGCTCTATCTCCCTGAGGGGGACTCAGGGCAGTTTCCAAGTACATCACCGAAACATACAAAGTAAACAGAATAATATAAAATTAACAAAACAACATAAGCATAAAATTATCAGAACAACACATAGTGTTTAAGGGTTTGATGCCATCTGTACACAGATGACGTCCAACTCTATCACTCATTTCCACCAGATGCTAAGGAGGCTGTCCAAGTCCTGAACCGGTGCCTGGCCACTGTGATGGTCTGGATGAGGGCGAGCAAACTGAAGTTGAATCCAGACAAGATAAAGGTCTTCCTGGACAGTCGCAAGGCCGAACAGGGTATAGGTTCACAGCCTGTGCTGGATGGCGTTACACTCCCCTTGGAAGGCACAGGTTCGCAGCTTGGGGGTCCTCCTGGACTCATCACTGAGGCTGGAATCCAGGTTGCAGCGGTGGCCAGAGGAGCATTCGCACAATTAAAACTTGTGCACCAGCTGAGCCCGTACCTTGGGAAATCAGACTTGGCCACGGTGGTCCATGCTCTCGTTACATCTAGGATAGGCTACTGCAACATGCTCTATGTGGGGTTGTCTTTGAAGACAGCTCGGAAGCTTCAAATAGTCCAATGAGAGGCAGACAGATTAATAACTGGCGCGGCATACAGGGAGCATACAACTCCCATGTTACGCCAGCTCCACTGGCTGCCAGTTTGCTACCAGGCACAATTCAAAGTGCTGGTTTTGGCTTATAAAGCCCTAAATGGCCCCAGCCCAAATTACCTGTCCGAATGCATCTCCCCCTATTTACCATCGTGGAGATTAAGATCCTCCGGGGAGGCCCTGCTTTCCGTCCTGCCATTGTCACAGGCGCGATTGGTGGGGACGAGAGACAGGGCCTTCTTGGTGATTGCTCCCCGGCTACAGAACTCTCTTTCTGGTGAGATCAGGTCGCCCCCCCTCCCTCCTGTCCTTTAGATGGATGGTAAAAACTTGGCTGTGGGACCAAGCTTTCAGGACAGGGCAATAAAGCGGCAATAGGAAAGATGACCAGGCCAATTAGATTTGACACGGATGACTAGGACGGTTTTAAATGTTGTATTTTAATATTTTGATAAATGTTTATGTATTGTATGTGAATTTGTGTCCCGGCACTGAATGTTTGCCGTGTATATGCTGTGCTCCGCCCTGAGTCCCCTTCGGGGTGAGAAGGGCGGAATATAAATGTTTTAAATAAATAAATATATTAAAAATAATCCTGCCTATTCAGAGCAAATTAAAAGCCGGGCCAAGGCTAGTGCAAACTCAAAATATGAGTGGGCTGGAAATTAAGTACAGTGCTATAACAGGCTGATGGTAATAGCAGGTACGGGTCTGTGGCTGCTCATTTTCAGGGCCTATTGGAGGGATGACCAGGGTGATAGGTAGGAAGTATAAGGCCATTTTCAACAATGTTTGGGGCTGGGCTAGAACTGGTCATTCTCAAAGGCTTGTTGAAACCACCAGGTCTTCAAACTCTTACGAAAGAGGGGAGGGATGTTCAAAAGACCACATACTAGCATGCTGGCACTATTAAAAAGTATGGCAGCATTTATTACATCTTACACATTTTAAGAATAACACAGGATTACAAGTACTGAAAATAATGGAAAGTCCTTTAGAAATGGTTTTAGAAAATATTGTCCCATTTTACTGATTTTGCTTAGTTCATCACCTACCTTTCTAATCATGGTCAGATCTGGTTGCTTTGTCCATGTCCTACTGTAAATGTCATAGGACTCCATGGAGATGAGTTCCCGTTCTCCATCCTCACCTCCCAAAACATATAGTATCCCATCAATCTCCACCAAGCCAAAATTGTGCCGCGCCTGTCAGAAAGAAGTTAAGATGTATTACATTCACTTCCTTAATTAAATCCCCTTCCTTAATTTCAAGAGGAATTTTCCCAGCTTCTCATAAATACATTCACTATAATATATACATAAACAACGGATGCTGTAATGACACCGGAAGAACCAACAATTGTATCTGGCATAAATTGTTTTGGAACAGATCTGAGCAGTGTAATCCAGGCAATGGAAAGGTTAAACAGAAAGGCAAACTCACCTCCGTCATGGGTGGCAAAGAGCTCCACGAATTGCTATCTGGATCATACTTTTCCCCAGAACATAAAGTGACTTTGTTATCATCTTGGCCTCCAAGCACAAACAGGAACCCTTCTGAAAACAGTGATCATATAAAGATTTCAAAATGCAGGTTGTATTAGTAGATGTTAGGCCTGTTCAATGCATGATTCTAAATAGTTATAAAGTACTTATAAAACTAAAGTTCTGGTGGTGAAAACTCTTTCAAAATTTAATTATTATTTCATTATTGGTGATTTTATGACAGAACCAATTAGGAACTGCCATTTATAATGAAATTTTGAGAGTTTTGTTAGAGTTCTGAAATTTTCACCACCAGAACTTTAGTTTTGTAAGTACTTTAGAACCAACCTGGACACAGCATATTATTTGCGAACACAGAAATGCTGAACCACTCTCACAACCACCATGTCAGACTACACAGAGAAACCATTGACATCCACAAGCATGTGGATAATTTCAACAGAAAGGAAGAAACCATGAAAATGAACAAAATCTGGCTACCAGTATTAAAAAAACTCTAAAATTACAACAGCAAAACAACAGAGAGAAAACAAACAGGCACATAAAATCACTCTCAACAAAAGATTCCCCCCAGGCACTTCCAAGCCATTGAATGCAAATCAAGGTGGTCAGTTCAAACATTCACACCTAGCTCCAACAGACAAGAGTCCTTTGTCCCACCCTGGTCATGCCACAGATATATAAACCCTTTTTCCCTTGCCATATATGCAGGCGAAATGTCATGAGAGAATGCCTGTAGAACATGGCCATATAGCCTGAAAAAACCTACAACAACCCAGTGATTCCGGCCACGAAAGCCCTTGACAATACTTTAGAACCATTCAGAACCATGCATTGAACAGGTCTAGTAGATATCCAGCTGATTTAGAAGTCAGAAAAGAGCTTAGATCAACCAGACCATTATCTGTAATGGTCCAACCAGGTTTCTTCAAGGAAAGCACAAGAAGGACAAGAAAACTGCTTGTTCTTTTAATTGGTAAACAATGGTATGGTATATCTGAACATGAAAAGCTCCACCAAATCATCATGATTGATGCCAGCTAACACCTCCCAGCAAAAGATCCCCCCAGGCTGCCACCAACTAGGCTTTGAAGCTGCAAGTCCATTAAATGCTAATCAAGGTGGCCTCAAACAGACGGTTCGGGCCCTGCCTATCTTTATGATCGCATCTCCTTCTATGAACCGGCATGAACTCTAAGATCTTCCAGGGAGGCCCTCCTTTCACTCCGACCACCGTCACATGTACATTTGATGGGGACGAGAGAGAGGGCCTTCTCGGTGGTGGCCCCCAGCCTCTGGAACACCCTTCCAAGGGAAATACGATAGGCCCCCATCCCTCCCCTCCTTTCGTAAGAGCATGAAGACCTGGTGGTTTCAACAAGCCTTTGAGAATGACAAGTTCTGGCCCAGCCTCAAACATTGTTGGATATGGCCTTATACTTCCTACCTATTACCCCGGTCATCCCTCTAATAGGTCCTGGAAATGAGCAGCCACAGACCCGTACCTGCTATTGCTGTTAGCCTATACTGTACTTAATTCCCGGTATTGACTCGAGTGTAAGTCGAGGGTTTGTCAAAATAAAAATAGATACCAATAAAATTGCATTCATTGAGGCATCATTGTTTTTAATATTTACATAAAGCTGTAATTTAAAATAAGACTTTCCAATTCTGATTAAACCATCATTCTAACCTTCTTCAATGTAAATGTAAACGTATCCTTCCAATAATAATAATAGAGTAAAATAATAAATGTAATAATGAAAATAACAATGGAGTAAAATAATAAACATAATAACAATACTAAAAAGAGTAAAATAATAAATTTAATAATAGAGTAAAATAATAACTATAATAACAATAACAATAGAGCATAATAATAATAAATAGAGTAAAATGATAAATGTAATAAAAATAATAATAGAGTAAAATAATGTAAGTGTAATAATAATAATAAATCTAATAAAAATAATACTAATTACAGAGTAAAATAATAAGTAACATTGACTCGATTATAAGCCGAGGGGGGCTTTTTCAGCCTAAACAAGGGGCTGAGAAACTAGGCATATACTTGAGTATATACAGTATGTGTTATTGTGATCATTTAATGCTTATGTTGTTTAGTTAATTTTATGTTATGCTGTTTACTCTGTTTTGGTGATGTTGCTTGTAAACCACCCTCAGGGAGATAGAGCAGTATATAAATAAAGTATTATTATTATTATTATTATTATTATTATTATTATTATTATTTCTCCCACCCTGGACATTATTCCACAGGTATATAAACCCCACTTGCCTAGTTTCCAACAGACCTCATAACCTCTGAGGATGCTTGATTAGCATTGCAAAGCCTTGCAGCTTCAAGGCCTGATTGATTCCTGCCTAGGGGGATGCTAATCAAGATGATTAATTTCAACAGTCACACCCGCCTCCAACAGACAAGAGTTCTTTCTCCCACCCTGGACCTTCAACAGATAAATAAGCCTCTCTTGTCTAGTTTCCAATATACCTCACAAACCTATGAGGATGACTGCCATAGATGTGGGCGAAACATCAGAAGGGAATGCTTCTGGAACATGGCCATACAGCCCGGAAAATTCACAGCAACCCATTCAAATATTCTCCAAGGCCATGATCCAAAGAAGCTTTAAAAGGCCATATAACTTTCCAGATATTTAAGGGCATTAGGCATGCTTCATTTTGCATAAGAAAGATGTCATCTTCCTGCCTACCTGCTGAAAGTACTCCATGATTTATCCTGGGCGTACTCAGAGGAGCTAGGTCTATCCAAAGTTGTCTGTTAGGATCATATAAAGGGCACATACACCGCATTACTGCTGACGGCTTCCGGGATCTGAACAGGTAAAAAGGCAAAAATTAATGCATCAATGAAGAACTATATGTCATAGTTAAAACTTACAGTTAAAGAAATCTAGAAGTCAAAACTTGGCTTTGTTTGGGGATGTTGTCCTTTAGTTTTGTGCAATTTGTTGCTCTGTGTACGGATTTTTTGTTTGTATGATTGTAGGGTGGAGTAATTTCCTATCAAGCAATATTTCCTTTATTTGGAGGATAATTCCATTTGATTCCTGTTTAGCAAGCAAGATAATAGTAATTTGGTGTATTATTTTGCTATGCTAGTCACATGTGTCATACACAAGGACCACACGGCAAATCCGGTCCGCCATATCCTTTTATGTGGCCTTCCAGACGCTAGACTACAACATCTGTATTCTTCATCATTAGACATGACTAGAGTTGATAGGAATTGGGATATATTCACATCTGGAAGGCTATTGTATGTTCCATTTAGTCAACAGAGTGGGATTTGGATTGAGACACAAGGCTTGTGCATGTGAGGCCTGACTTTACGATGTTCTTTAACCTTTCCCCAAACTTAGAGCCACAAGTGCTGTTGGATTGCTATTCCCATTATCCTCACTCCACATCTATATAAATAAAAATGTAATGTTTGTTTGTGGGATTAACAGAACTCAAAAACCATTGGACGAATTGATGCCAAATTTGGACACAAGACACCTAACAACCCAATGTATGTCTTTCACTCAAAAAATTTGATCTTGTCATTTGGGAGTTGTAGTTGCTGGGATTTATAGTTCACCAACAATCAAAGAGCATTCTGAACCCCACCAACGATGGAATTGAACCAAACTTGGCACACAGTTCTCCCATGACCAACAGAAAATACTGGAAGGGTTTGGTGGGCAGTGTCCTTTGCTTTTGGAGTTGTAGTTCACCTACATCCAGAGATCACTGTGGACTCAAGCAATGATGGATCTGGACCAAACTCTACACAAATACTCAATATGGCCAAATGTGAACACTGGTAGAGTTTGGGGGGAATAGAATCTTGACATTCTGGAGTTGTAGTTGCTGTGATTTATAGTTCACCTACAATCAAGAGCATTCTGAATCCCACCAATGATAGAATTGGGCCAAATCCCCCACACAGAACCCCCATGTGGTCCACAGCAACGGCTAGTCACAGATAAAAAGGTGTTAAACTTGTGGCTCTCTAGATGTTTGGGCCTTCAACTCCTAGAAGCCTTAGCCACCTTGTCTAATGGCCAGAAATCCCGGGAGCTGAAGTTCAAAACACCTGGAGGGCACCAAGCTTGGAACCATTGGTCAAAAATGATGGGTGTTGTCATTCAAAAACATCTGAGGACCTGAACTGGATAAAAACTAAGGAACACTGACCACCATGTAAAAAGATTATATATATCCTCTGCACCCATGGATTTTCAGTCTATAGATAGCTTTGAAAGCAACTATAAGGCTAATGTGGCCCTCCATAAAAATAAGTTGGACACGCTCTAGCACAAAGATTAAAATCACACCTTTGATGAGCAGAAAAAACTTCAACGTGTGGAAGTAGATCCAATCAATTTTTTAAAAAACTGCAGAATTGTGCTGCATTTTAATCCTAAATATACAAATCTATCAGTGAGATCTGAAGGATTTCCCTGCACCACTCACACTCGTTCTTCTCCGCCAACGGTCACAATGCATTCTGAATATCCTCTGGGTTTGAACGAAGCAAGCATGGCTTCCCCTTGCTGGGGCTGCGTGAGCGGTATGTTGCTGCACTCTTTGACAATTTCCCGGACCAGAGGCTCACTCATCATCTGCTCCCGCAAGTAGGCACAGTCTAGTCCTGCGACCCACACAGCTGACATCGCATCCTTCATGTGAACCTGGAGAGAGGGGAAAATATTTGCAAAATGAAAGAAGCCAATCACATAATAGTCACACTGTTACAATGAGAAATATGATGTATGGTTGCAATGAACTGTATGAAAGATGTATGAATGAGAGCTAATAATTTGGCTAAAGTTAGCATCCTAAGGAATAAGGCCTAGAAAACAAGTACAATTGATGGACTGTAATTAAAAGTTGCTAATGATAACTGAAATGGCTGATCTGCCATAGTAAACTGTGGTAAGAACAGTGACAAATGATTAACTTGGGAGTCCTCGTGGACAACAAGTTAAACATGAGCCAACAATGTGAAGTGGCGGCAAAAAAAGCCAATGGGATTTTGGCCTGCATCAATAGGAGCATAGTGTCTAGATCTAGGGAAGTCATACTACCCCTCTATTCCGCCTTGGTTAGGTCACACCTGGAATATTGTGTCCAATTTTGGGCACCACAATTCAAGAGAGATATTGAGAAGCTGGAATGTGTCCAGAGGAGGGCGACTAAAATGATCAAGGGTCTGGAGAACAAGCCCTCTGAGGAGTGGCTTAAGGAGCTGGGCATGTTTAGCCTGAAGGAGAGAAGGCTGAGAGAAGATATGATAGCCATGTATAAATATGTGAGAGGAAGTCACAGGGAGCAAGCTTGTTTTCTGCTTCCCTGGAGACTAGGACATGGAACAATGGCTTCAAACTACAAGAGAGGAGATTCCATCTGAACATGAGGAAGAACTTCCTGACTGTGAGAGCCGTTTAGCAGTGGAACTCTCTGCCCCGGAGTGTGGTGGAGGCTCCTTCTTTGGAAGCTTTAAACAGAGGCTGGATGGCCATCTGTCAGGGGTGATTTGAATGCAATATTCCTGCTTCTTGGCAGGGGGTTGGACTGGATGGCCCATGAGGTCTCTTCCAACTCTATGATTCTATGAACTGATGCACTTTTGGGGAAAAACACAGTGTTTACATTAATCTGAGACAATGGTTCTTTTAAGTTAAGGTGTTAACTTAAAAGGAAGTCAACACAAGATCAACACCAAGAGTCAACATCTGCCAGGAAACTGAGAAGGAATCAACATGTTTCAGGCTGCCCAAACAACTTGTCAGTAACTTACAACTTTAGGACATTAGAAGAATTATTGCCATGTAAGAGATCTTATTTCATTCCAAAAATTGTGGCAGAGCAGTGGAGTCTGGCTCACCCGCCATGCTCTATGGAAAGATACAGTGTATGCCTCCTTTTTTTCAAGGGAAGAGGAAGAAGTGCAAATCTGGAGTCTGGGATTTTGTGTAGGGAAGTCAGATTCTGCTGTATGGAAAACGTGGATCTGATTCTTGGCACTGTGCTTAGGAAGAGGATGCATTTTGACATTTTGAAGCTTTGATATGTTGGCAGGCTGCAGATGAAGCAGGGTCTGGCCTAAGAGATGTTCTTCACAGAGGAAGAATGGAGAAATGGTGATGGGTGACAGTTTCTATTTGTGTGAATGCGGAGTAACAATGTAATTCCCCTTTGTTTGTTTGTTAGCCAATGTAACTGCAGTTTTGTGAATCCTATGTAGTTGCGTAGCATCTGTATGTCTGCATGTCAGTGTTGTTCTATAAAAGTTCTGATACTCTTTCTCTTATTGGACAATTTCTTTTTTTATTAAATGTTTTTATTTAAAGTGTGTGTGTGTGTGTATGTATGTCAGCATATATATATATATATATATATATATATATATATATATATATATATCTCAACATAGAAAGTAGGGGAATATGGAGGAATATGGACCTAAAAGAGAACTGGATTAAAATGTTTTACAGGTGGTATCTCTCACCTAAACAATTAGGTCATATGTACAAAAATACCCCGGATAATTGTTGGAAGTGTGGAGACCAGGCGGATACTTTTTTTCACATGTGGTGGACATGTAAGGTAGCTACAAAGTATTGGTCACGAGTTCATGAAGCAACACAAGAAGTCTTTTCCAATGCAACCTGAATACTATCTTTTAGGCTTTACGGACTTAGATCTACAACTTACTGAAAATGAAGATAAAACTTTTGACATTCATAACAACGGCTGCAAGAATCAGTTTTGCAAAACTGTGGAAACAGGAGCAAATTCCAACTCTTGAAGATTGGTTGGATAAGTTGAGAGAGATAAAAGATATGGACGAACTGACTTTTTTTTACTAAGAAAGAACACCGGAAATGTAATAAAAAGAACCAACTGGACTCTCTCTCATGTCTATGAAAACAACAGTAGAAATAAGAAATAACTCTAGAAATAAATTCAGATAAGAACTATGACACTAAGAAATGAAGAATTCAGGAAGATGGAAGTCAACTTTTTTCTTCTTCTTCTTTTCTTTTTTATACTCTTTATTTTCCTACTTTACTATCTTCTTAGAAATATTCCCCCACTCTTACTGGACAATCTCAATAAAAAAGAACCTATGCTTTAAAGTTACTGAAAAATTGGGTTGTTGTGAGTTTTCTAGGCTAAATGGCCATGTTCCAGAACCATTTTATCTCCTGATGTTTCAGAGGATGCCTGCCATAGATGCAGGCGTAACATCAAGAGAGAATGCTTCTGGAACATGGCTATACAGCCCAAAAAACTCACAACAACCCAGTAATTCCAGCCATGAAAGCCTTCAACAATATATTGAAAAGTTATTCATAACAACACTTGCATGAAATACCATATTTACTTGAGTATAATGCACCAACAAATCTAATGCGTACCTCAGTTTTCAAAACCCTGAAACCAAAAAACTATTTACTGGCGAATGCATAATGGCAAAAATATGATAGGTAGATAGGTCTCAACCTTATACCTTTCTTAGTTCGGGATCATGGGAGATCCACCGGATCACGGCTTCAAAAACATGTCTTTCATTCCCAACATTTAGTTTCTCCAAGGACAGCACCTCTTTCAGTTTCTGAGGACTAAGTTCCAGGAATTCCTCGGTGCTGCTGACATCCCTGAAGTGTGTTTCCAGATATTCAGAGGCAAGATAATGGACATGGTGCAAGCAATAGTGCAGGGCAAAGTCCCGAATCCCAATGCAGTTTTCAGCAGCAATACAACCCTCGAGGAACTCACAACAGAGAGTTTTTAGATCTGTGAGCAACAAGAGGTCAGCAGCTTGTACAACATCCTGAATGGTGTCTTCACTTAGTCTGATCTGCAAAAGGTTTATCAAGAAAAGAAAACTTATAATCAGAGCAGTGGTTACGTTTTCCAAAAGTCAAGTTCCAAATGTGACAATAGTATTTATTTATTTATCTATCGTGTCAGGAGCAAACCAAACAGTTGTGTTGCATTTTTAACAAACAAACAAACAAGGCACAAAGTTTGCAAGCTTGGTAGTTGATTAAATGTACTTTGATCAGTAGCTGGCCACTTGGAGTGCCTCTGGTGTTACTATAAGAAGGTCCTCCATTGTGCATGTAGCAGGGCTCAGGTTGCATTGCAGCAGGTGGTCTGTAGTTTACTCTTCTCCACACTTGCATGTTGTGGATTCCACTTTGTAGCCCCATTTCTTAAGGTTGGCTCTGCATCTCGTGGTGCCAGAGCAGTCTGTTCAGCGCCTCCCAAGTCGCCCAGTTTTCTATGTACCCAGGAGGGAGTTTCATTTGGTATCAGCCACAGATTGAGGTTCTGGGTTTGAGCCTGCCACTTTTGCACTCTCGCTTGCTGAGATGTTCCAGCAAGTGTCTCTGTAGATCTTAGAAAACTATTTCTTAATTTGACAATAGTGATACCCAAAACCTGTCACTGCAACTGCCCCCTGATTGACATAGTGTGATTTCACAACGTGTCTAGTGAATACAAATAGCACTGAAAAATGAAGGAATGTATAGATGATTCAACCATAACTCTGCCTTGTCTCCTTTCCAGGTATACTTGGTTTAATTGACTATGTTACCCATGAGATCTGTGCCACTTTTGATTATCTACACTATAAAGTGCTTCACCAAGTCAGAAGTGGTCAACATGAGTCCTGCACTCTATATCTAAGTCTCTAGGTCAGGCATGGGCAAACTTCGGTCCTCCAGGTGTTTTGGACTTCAACACCCACAATTCCTAACAGCCTTCCGGCTGCATAGGCAGTACAGCCAGTGTTAAGGAACGATGGGAATTGTCCCCCAACACTTGAGGACCACACACTGCCCATCTTTGACTTATTGATCTCCTGACATATCACTTATAATAGATGCACCTATGGCTTCAGGAAGTGTGCTTCAAATATCTCCAGCCACACTTTTTCTGCTTTAAACCAAACTATTTTTCTTTAGGGGAATTTAATTCCTTTCTGAAATGTAAGAAGCGGCAATAGAAACTTCAAATCTAGAGCTATTAGCAACGAAGAAGGCTAACAGAGAACAGGAATGTTAATGCTCCTGTACAATGCAGATCGACTTCTCCCAACCAATGAGATCTCTTAATGAATCCATACCCACACAAAAATGAGAGTTGCTTTCATCATTTAAGCAACAGAGACAGATCAGATTACATTATTATTATTATTATTATTATTAATAATAATAATAATAATTTACTCTATTTATAACCAATCTTTCTCCTTGTGGGGACTCACATTGGTCATACAGTACTTTTAAAAAGCACAATACAAAAAATAAAAGCAATTAAATAATACAGTGTGGATTAAGGTAAAATTCAAATGTACCGTATATACTCGAGTATAAGCCGACCCGAATATAAGCCGAGGCACCTGATTTTACCACAAAAAACTGGGAAAACTTATTGACTCGAGTATAAGCTGAGGATGGGAAATGCAGGAACTATGGGTCAGTATCAAAATAAAAATAGATACTAATAAAATCACATTAATTGAAGCATCAGTAGGTTGAATGTTTATTGATATTTACATAAAACTGTAAGATAAGACTGTCCAACTCTGACTAAACCATTATTCTAACCTTCTTCAATGTACATGTGCTTACGTATCCTTCCAATAATAATAGAGTAAAATAATAAATGTAATAATAATAAAAATAATAGTTAACCTATAAATGTAATAATAATAATAATAATAATAAAGTAAAATAATAAATAACCTTGACTCGAGTATAAGCTGAGGGGAGCTTTTTCAGCCTAAACAAAGGGCTGAAAAACTAGGCTTATACGCAAGTATATACAGTAATAAATACTGTTAAATTAGCCTTTAAAATTCACATTACGTAGCCAATCCAAGTCAGCAGTCTGGCTGCTGCTCTAACAGACTAACTGAAGTTTCTGAATAAGAAAGTTGACAATAGTATTGGTGTGCTGCTCAAGAAGTCAAAATAATAGACTTACATTGAGCACAAATACATACTTTTACTAAAGGACATCAATAGTGCCTTAAAAGAACAGATTAATGCACTTTAGCACAAGCTACAAGATTCCAAGGAGCCAGCAGGTATGGGAAGGTCCATGAAAAAGACCAACCAACGACCAACAGTAACCTATTTTCTGCATGTTTTAATATGTATTGTAAAAGTGCAAATATAAATAGAATTCCTGAAATGCAGAGGTAGATAGGATTGCTCTTGTCAACACAAACCTGACCACTGAAGATGTAGTCTAGAATCTCTTTCATAGTGTCAACAGATATCCCCTCAAGTTCAATTTTATACGTGGAGCCATCAACCTTCGGAGGATTATAGTTCAACTTTGTTCTGAAATTAGAAAAACAATATTGGTTTTAAAAAGTGACGGGAGCCAGACAGTACACACATCCTTGGCTTTCTAAAATCAGTTGACACTTCAAAACAGATTAAAAAAAAACAATTTCACATCACAAGAAATAACCTGGGACACAGTAATGAAATCTGATAAATTACAATACTATATATATATTACTATTATATATACTACTATAAAATACATAAATATTATATTATATATATTATTGTTATATGTATTACTATATAATACGTTACTACTATATATTACTATATTAAATAGACTCATAGAATAGAGTTAGAAGGGACTCTACCATGGGGTTGGGGGAGAACAGACAGGAAAGAAGGAGAGAAGGAGGGAGGGAAAGAAGGAAGGAAGGAGAGAAAGAAAGAGGTACCGAAGAAAGGAAGGAAGGAAGGAAGAAGATAAAATAGAAAGGAAAGGAAAGGCAGGAAAGAGGTAAAGAAGGAAGGAAGGTGAAAAGGAAGTAAAAAGTGAAAGAACCAAGAAAACAGGGAAGGAAGAAATGAGACAAAGGAAGAAGTAGAGAAAAGGGGAGGGAAGGAAGGAAAGAGAGAAGGAAGGATGAAACCAAAGAGTTAAAGAAGGAATGAAAGAAAGAGGCAGAGAAGGAAGAAAGGAGAGAAAGGGGAAGGGGAAGAAAAAGGGGGGAAGGAATAGGTAGGTACCTCTCTTTCATAATAGTGCAGATATCTACCTCTACTTCAAAAATTCTTACTATAGGCCACAGCAACGTGTGGCAGGGTACAGCTAGTAATCTATATACCGTATATTCCGGCATATAAGACGACTGGGCGTATAAGACGACCCCCAACTTTTCCAGTTAAAATATAGAGTTAAGACGACTCCCATGCATAAGACTACACCCGCGTATAAGACGACCCCTGACTTTTGAGAAGATTTTCTTGGGTTAAAAAGTAGTCTTATACGCCAGAATATACTGTAAATAAAAATGTAATGTTCGTTTGTGGGATTAACATAACTCAAAAACCACTGGACGAATTGACATGAAATTTTGACACAATACACCTAACAGTCCAACAAGTGTTCATCACCCCTAAAAACACATACACACACACACACAAACCACGTCAGCAGAATGGACTTAAAAAAATGCAAAATACACCATATATACATATACACATGCACACATACACACATACACACACATATATATACACATACCCAAACACACACAAATATACACACAAACATATACACATGCGCACACACATGCACACACAAAGACAAATATGCATATAGACAAGCACACACATATACATGATATACATATATACACATATGCACACACAAGTATACACCCATATATACACACACACACATGCAAACACACATATATACACAGATACACAAATATATACACACATATAAACACATATATACAGACTGGGCCACAGCAACGTGTGGCAGGGGATGACAAATATTTAATAAATTGCTTTGTTGATTTAACTTGGTCTGGAGTGTGGTGGTTAAGTACAGAAGTGTTTCCTGACCTGGAGTGCAACACTGACTGATCTCCAGTTAAGACTTTTAAAATTGATTTACATAAAATAGAGCTAAGAACTCCTTCCCCACTCATGTCAATACCAGTTTTGCTTTGTGAACTGCTTGGGGGCATGATGTTTCCTATCAGTATAAAGAATCCCAAGGCTGCCCCTTGCTATCAAACCCTTTCTTCAGACAAGAGCTGGGGTTTGGTTCTCTCTCTGCCCCTTCCTGGTCACACCCAGCCCTTCAGCAAGGTACATTAAAGAGGTGAGCTTCCACCACACCTTCCTCTGGGTGCTAATTTTCCAGGAGTTTTGCTTACACATTCACTTTATAGGTGCTTTATATAAAATGAGCAATCTCAAAACTCGAAGGAAATAAAAACAAATCCTTGCAACACCTTCGTATAAATACCAGTGTCCCGTATCCTTAATTCTCCAGTTCACAAGAGCAGCTACCATGATTAATACTAGTTTCAAGTGTTACTCCATCTCTCCCAGATGCATTAAGTGGGTATAACAGTGCCATAAAACTTGCATGTCTCCAAATAAAATGAAAAAAGGACCCATATATAAAATCATCCCTTTCTCCTCAAACCCTTCTTCAGGTTCACAGATTGAGCAATATTACCTTTGCACATCTGCAGACACATTTAATGCATTGTAACTCCATGTGGAATTAAACAAGAGACTTGGGGAGATGGGGCGGATTACAAATAATTTTTTATTATTATACTAGCTTGGGGACCTGGCACTGCCCGGGTTATTTGAGATAGGCATTGTTTGTCTGTTCGGTAGTTTTAGTCTAGATCCAATGTCTGGTAGTTTAATGGATGCGGGTGAAGTACAACTCTCATATGCAAGTCCCATCGCCCATGGGACTTCCACACTGCACCAGGATGGTGGGTGGGTCATGGGGGCTTTGTGTGTCAAGTTTCTTCTTGATTGGTCATTGGTGTGGGTCGCAGTGGTCTCAGGAAATGAATGTAGTTACTGCAAATCCCATCATCCATGGTGCATCGTCCCACAAACCACACCAAGATGTAGAGTGGGTAATGGAATCTCTGTGTGCCAAGTTCGATCTTTCTCAGTCATTGGTGTAGGTTAGAACGGTCTGAAGAAATAAGTGATGGTACTGTAATTCCCATCATCCATGGTCTAAAGTCTTTCACACTGCACCAGGATTTAGAGTGGGTTATGGGGGCTCTGTGTGCCAAGTTCGATCTTGCTCTGTCATTGGTGAGGGTCACAGTGGTCTCATGAAGCGTGTGAAGGTACTACAGGTCTCATCATCCATGGTGAATCCTCCTTCAAACCACAACAGGATGGAGACTGGATCATGGTGGCTCTCTGTGCCAAGTTTGGTCTAGATCAGTCATTGGTGAGGGTTGCATTGGTCTCAGCATTATTCTTAAAACTTTTTTTAAAAAATCCACAAACCAGAACCCCAGATTCAAACAACGTAATGAGATGTGAATGAGGTATCCTGCATTTATTATAACACAGTAATCTCAATCTATTCCATTTCTACATTGAAGATGTCTTCTAACAGTATCCTCAGGCTGATAAGTTTAAGAGTTAAACTTATAAAGCAGCCATAGATAAAGGGCCATCGATAAAGGAGGAACAATTTCTTCAAGAGCAGCAAGAGGTTGCAAGACCATCTTGTGCTGTTTACTTTTCCTTTTTAAAATAACACTTTGAACCTCTTGGGTTTGTTGAGTTTTTCTTGTTTTGGGGAAGGGGAAGGGTTCACAATCCATATAGCCCCCAGAGGCTGCAGAATAGAAAAACAACCCCTGAACGCACTGGAAAAAAACCCACTCCACCATAAAGTTATGCCAACACTCCAAATATCCATACATACTATCGTGATTGTATAAGTGCAGGCTCTCCTTTGCAGGTGGAAGCCAACAGACCAAACATTTCAAGCTGATGTGCAGTAAAGCTTTAGTAAAATCTAATACTAGCAGAGTGGTTTCATAGGTAAAAGCCAAGCTTATGTTGACACAGCTGTCCATGTCTCATTGTCAGCTAATCTCTGAAATAAAATGTTGAAAGACATCTTTGCAGAGATGGCAACGCCTGGACCGGTAGCACAATAAATCCCCATTTCTAAAAATATTAATAAAACTGAGGAACCAAACAGAAGTAGCCTTCCTCAAGTAGGCAAGTCCTTAACAGAATCATAGGGCCCTTCCAGACAGGCCCTATATCCCAGGTTTTCTGTTTATCCCAGATTACCTGGCAGTGTGAACTCATATAATCCAGTTTAAAGCAGAAAGACTGGATCAGATTCTGAAATATAAGGCCTGTCTGGAAGGGCCCACAGTTTCCTAAGACTAAACCAGGGCCCTTCAACACAGCCCTATATCCCAGAATATCAAGGCAGAAAATCCCACAATATTTATTATTATTATTATTATTATTATTATTATTATTATTATTATTATTATTATTCTGTGTGCCCAGGAGGGAGTTTCTCATCAGGTCTCAGCCACTGATTGAGGTTCTGGGTTTCAACCTGCCACTTTTGGGCTCTCGCTTGCTGGGGTAAGCTGCTCCGAGTCCCCTCTGGGGAGGTGGTGGCGGGGTATAAATAAAGATGATGATGATGATGATGATGATGATGATGATGATTTTTATTATTATTATTATTAGAAACTCAACAAGATGAGTCCACAGCAGACACTCGGCTGGCTATTGAATTGGATCCCACATCAGACACTTCCCAAGTGTCTAGGACTATGTGATGTATCAGCGAATAATGTATGCAGATCCCAGTAAGGTGGCCTTCTGCAACTGGCTGATGGTAATTTTGTCAGCGCCGATTATGTTTAAGTGCAGGCCAAGGTCTTTAGGCACTGCACCCAGTGTGCCAATCACCACTGGGACCACCTTTACTAGTTTGTGCCAGAGCCTTTGCAGTTCGATTTTTAAATCCTCATATCGTGACAGCTTTTCCAGTTGTTTCTCTGCAATCCTGCTGTTACCTGGAATTGCGACATCAATGATCCATACTTTGTTTTTTAACATGATTGTGAAGTCAGGAGTCTTGTGCTCCAAAACTCTGTCTGTCTGAATTCAGAAGTCCCAGAGGAGTTTGACGTTTCATTCTCTGTAGCATTTTCCGGCTTGTGATCCCACCAGTTCTTTGTTGCAGGTAGATATTTGTGGTACAAGTTCCAATGAATCCTCTGAGCAATGGTGTTGTGCCTCTGCTTGTAGTCTGTCTGCGTGATCTTCTTGCAGCAGCTGAGGATGTAATCTATTGTTTCATCTGCTTCCTTGCAGAGTCTACATTATTATTATTATTATTGTTGTTGCTGTTGTTGTTGTTTACAGTATTCATCTACCGCTTTTCTCACCCCTAGGGGGACTCAAAGCAGTTTTACACATAGATAATGACAAAATTCAATGCCTTACAACTACAATAGTAAAATCACACATTAGACATAAATCAT